GCCTGCGCGCCGCCGCCTGGCACGCACGCACGCACGCACGCGCGGGAGGGCGGGTCCAGCTGGACGCGAGGGGCGACGTCACCGCGGGATGACGTCACCGCAGGCCGTCCGCCGGTCCCTGGGGGCCCCTCACACAAAGCTGGCATGCCGTGCACACCACCTTGGCCAAATTGTGAGACTGGCTTCCTCTTTTTTATTGGCATATTATGCTCACATCATACAATTGAGTAGTCCAATCGTATGAACAAGAAGTGTGAGATCACAATCGGTTTTAGGACATTTTCTTTCTTGTGCTCATTGTTTTTTAACCCCAACCTCCCCTGCCGCACCCCCGAGGACATTAATCTGCTTCTGCAGATTCTACCTGTCCTGGATTTCACACACAGAAAAGCAAAAACTAACCACAACAACCTCAATGCAAAAGGAAGGGGTTTTAGCGTGCTGAGCTCAGCTGTCTTCCCGCCCTCTGACTTCTGAGTCGTTGAGTACGAGGAGGGCTCTGTGAATGTGTAGGTGAGGCGGAGGGGTCCGGTGCAGCACACGTGTGTTGGGCCTTCTCATGCCTGAAGCACTGTGCTAGTGGTGGGAGCAGCCCTGTTGGGGTAGCAGCACAGAGGACGCACTGACCCAGGGACCACCCAGAAAGGCTTCCTAGGGCTACTGCTTTTGAGCTGACCTTACATGTGGATGCGGGGCAGAGGTGGTTGTGCCTGGGTGGTGGGAATGGCTGCCTGTGTGTGCAGGAAGGAGGTGTTGCACAATACAATCTGCTGTGTGTGTTGTGCCTGTCACTGCTGGGAGCAGGGTGCAGAGGGGACTGGGCGCTTGGCTTGGCTGCACACATGGCGGAGAGAGGAAGCCCACTGCCGCTGGAGGCTGTGGTGGGAAGCAAGCCTGCCTTCCCGGGCTGGAAGTGGAGAATGAACTGACAGGTTTCAGCTCTTGTTTAAATCCTGTTCGTGCTTGCTGTGCTGAGACGACAACCCCAGGTGTGTGCGCGATTCAGCGACATTGGTTACCTTGGGCTGTTTGCACAACCACCCCCACCCCTCCTCTGAGCTGCCCCTTCCTCATTCGCATCAACTCACTGCCCGCAGCTTCCTCCCTGCCCGCAGCTTCCTCCCTGCCCTGAGATCTTACGGGAGCGGACTTCTCAAGACAGACGTTTTTTACGTGTTGAGTAAGCTAGACTGTTCTTTAGTCTTAAGAAGACATCACCGGATATTTTGAGTTGTAAGTTTTGAAGAAGATCGCAGGGCAGGAGTTACAGGGGGCTCATCCAGCCGCTTTGTGTGGCCTCTACGAGCACTTGAAGTTCGTTCTGCATTTACCCCCCTTTGATCAGGATCGTTTTACTGCCTCTGTGATCAAAATGCTCCGTCAGGTGGCCAGGCACCATTCATTTTTAATGGCCTCACGGCAGAGGAGGTTGTGGGGTGACAGCAGCTGCCCACGCAGAGGTAGGCTCTGTCAGTCACAGACTGCGTGAGGTCTCCCCTCACCGTTCAGACCTGGGCTCCATGGGAGGCCAGCCCCCCCCCCCCCTATTGCAGATGAGGATGGTGCTGCCCACCTCACAGTGTGGAGCTGACAAAGCAAAGAGCTGTGAGCAAGCCCCAACCCGACAGCGAGCAGGATGTTGCTGGTGGAACTGCCCTCAGGTCGGTTCCGATTCATGGGGACCCCTGCACACCCAAGGGAAACACCTCCTCACAGTTGTTCTTATGTTTGAGCCCATTGTTGCCGCCACTGTGTCCATCCATTTCTCTGAGGGCCTTCCTCATTCTCGCTGACCCTCCGCTTCACCAAGCACGCTGTCCTTCTCGAGGGAATGGTCTCTCCTGTGTGACACAGGGTTCTCTAGAGAAACAAACCTAGGACACTTGTGATTTTACGTATCTAAGACATAGATAGATAGATACAACATAAGACATAAAGCGCTGATTAGTCCACAGAGCAGTACAAATGGCTCAGTTCAACTCACTTCCGTGAGACAGTTGATACACTGGCGGTCCTTCAACTCACAAGGGCTGCTGGGTGCAAGTCAAGGAAGCAGACAGCCGAGTCTTCTCTGGAGCAATGCAGGCAGTCCGGCCACAAGCAGCAAACAGCAGGGCAGGTCACCAACAGTCAGCCAGATGACAGGGTCCGACAGTCCCCAGCTCAAGTGATGTATACACCAGCAGTGTGGCAAAGCAGGTCTTGAAGGAACCTCAAACAATAGTGACACAGTCCACGGGTGGGGTGTCCCACAGGGAGTGTAGCTCGCAAGTTGAGGCAGAGAACCAACTAAGGCAGCCGCATGATGGCCCGATCATCAGAGAGCAAGAGAGAAAGGCGAGGCTCGCTGATCCATTTACGGTATCTCTTTGCGCTTCAATTAAACTGCAACCTTATGAATCCCACATGTGTTTATTAGCTGGATTGGCACAGTAACCTACCTGTCACACTCCTGACAATGTGTCCAGAGTCAGTGAGGTGACGTCTTGCCACTTTGGCTCTGCTTCTTCCCGGGCAGATCCGTGTGTTCCGGGTACTGTCACGACTCCTCTCCGGCAACATCATTCAAACGCATGATCCTTCCCTGGCCTTCTTATTCAGTGTCCATCTTCCCTGGGCCTCCAAGGCACTGGCACGATGGACTGTAAGGAGCAGAGGGGTCAGAGTGCGGAAGTCGCGGAGGGGAAAGCCTATGGGCCGTGGAAGGTGGGATGGACATGGGGGAGGTGACAGCTCTGGAGCAGGTGGGGTAGGTGGACCGAGAGGGAGAAGTGGCATGCACCGTGGTGAAGGTGACGGCCAAGGGGACAGAGTCCCTGGTAACTCTAGGTCAGTGTGGTCAGGATGTGGCTGAGAGGGTCATCCTGAGTCGGAAGATGTGGGGAAGTGCAACTGACGCAGGCCCACGTTTCATGGTGGTACCTCCATGGAGTTCCTGTGCACCCCCACCTGCCCCTCGAGCCTCGGTTTCTCCATCAGCACAGGGATCCTGGAGAAACTCACGCCGTGTGCCCCAATCCAGCTCTGCAGCCCTGACCACGTTTGTCTTCCTGAGCAGATGGTGAAGGCCCTCGTGGCCTCCTCTTCTTCCACCTTGACAAGAGAAGACGCCCCTCGGGCAAACCCACCAGATTATAAATGGGAGGGGGTGGGGGGGCGCTTCCTTCGACCCACGCAGGGCATTAGGAAATGGACCCTCCAGCACAAGCTCACAGGTTGGATGCCCTGTTGGGACTTTACTTCCTCTTGGCAGGCTAGTCACCTTCCCAAAGCTGTGCGCAGCCCGCTGGCAACACTCCTCACAGAGGCTCCTGCACATGCTGCAGCTGCTGCTCCCTTTGGAGGAAGGGGGCCTGCCCTCTGGGGGTCCACAGGGGCCTGGGGGGTCTGCCCTTTGGGAGGTGTGTGAGAGATGTGCTGTGGCATGCCCACAGTGCCCCCGGTGGTGCTGTGTGGTCTGAAGTCTTGCTTGGAGAAGGGCATAGCTGTTGACCTATGGCTGCTGGCACAGCTGTGCTCCACCTTGTCGTGGCTGCCCTGCCTCCCTGCCGTTTGCTTCCTGCTCAGCGTGCCCGGGAGCCGGTGCCGTTTGAGAGGCCTCAGCCCTGTCCGCCCAGTGCCTGAAGAAAGGTTCAGCTACCAAGGGGTGAGGAGACTCGGCGACAACTGACCCTCTCGACCGGCCTGTCCTGAGTGAGTGCCTTTGCAGTGCGACCATGGTCTCTCTCGGACTGCGCGCTCCGAGCAGAGCTGTGCTGCAGGCACACGGCACTGCAGCCCGCAGGCCGAGTGTGGGAAGACACGGGTAAACCTCCTCACTTCGTGCGTGGGATTGAATCGTATTAAGTTAGTATCAGCTGCTGCTTTTGACTCTTCGTGGACAGGAGCCTGGGGTCCCTGTGGGTTAGGTGATGGGCCACTACCAGCCAACCCGCTTCTCCAGAAAGCCTACCTCGACAGGCTCCTGGCAGCGAGCTCGGGGTTTTGTAGACGTCGTCTTCACCACCAGGCTCACCCGATCTCAGAATGGGAATGAGAGCCTAACGCCTGGCCTGAACTTTCGGGATCACGGATTCCTTGCCTGATAAGAGGAGGGGCCCCAAGTGGAAATGACGGGGAGGGAAGGTGAAGGAACTGACGTCCTGCTGGCCGGCCCCCTTCCCTCTGCCGTCAGCTCTCCGACTTGAAGGACCCCAGGGCCTTGCAGGCTGGCCTCCACTCCCCCCCACCCCCCACTGTGCTTCCTCCTGACCTTCCTCGTCCTCGGGAAAAAGAACGTTTGCTGATGAGGGGCCCGCCTCCACAACGAATGGGTCCAAGGGATGGTTGTTTGGGGATGAGGGGCCAAATTAAAGAGACATCAAACAAGACGTGCAAGGGCTCAGCTCTTCCATGGAGACCGGAGCCAGAGAGAAAGTGAATGTGTTCTCTCTACAGGCTCATAGACCTCATCGCAGGCAAGCCAGCCATGCCATACCAGCCATATGTGCCAGCCATGCCATATGTACGGGCAGGAAGGGGTTGTGCTGGGG